GGACCCATTAAAACTTCAAGAAACTTTGGAGATGGATTGTGACTTTGAAGTCTTCAGAGGTTTCTTCAGCTCCCTCTGGGGGACTGATGTTCAGGGACTCAGCGCCCAACCCACAAGAGAAGTCCTTGTGCTGTGTCTGTGCTGTTCAGCTGGGCTGGGCTCCTGGCACAGAGGCAGCTCCTGGCAAGGGCAGCGCTGCAGAGAGACAGCTCTGGCCAGGAGCAGCTCCTGGGCACAGCCCAGCAGGGCTGGGGCACTGCCTGCAGCCACCCCGGGCACAGCACAGGGCACAGAGAGATGAGAGGCAGCCTGGGCTGGGAGGGTGACTCAGCTCTTGCTAGGGGAGAAATCTTCACAGTGTTTGAAAGAATAATTCTCTGGCTATAGCAAAGCTAAACTTCCATTCCTGGAGGCTTCTCCTAAGGCTGGCACATCCCACAGTTTCCATGATCGTTTGGATGGACTCTCCCAGTTCCTCTGGTGCAGAGCAGGTGGCCACAGGGCAGGCAGGGCAGTACCTGCAGGCAGCAAGGGCAGGCAGCAGGAGTGAGGAAGAGGTTCAAGGTAGCCTGGGGTGGGGGAACAGGAGGAGATTTCTCCCATCAGGGGAGAAATCTGCACAGCCCCTGGACACGGTGAGTCTCTGGCTGCAGAGCAATGCAGGTGAGTTCCTGGGAGTGTCTGTGACAATGCCAGCACTGACAGGACCTGTCAGGGTGGCTCTCCTGGATGTCCTGGTGTGGAGCAGAACAAGCTCCAGAGCGGGGCTTCCCTGCTGCTCCCTGAGAGGCACAGGACAGGTCCCTGCACAGGCAGAGCTGTCCCGGGGCCATGGGGTGGGGATGGACTCTGTGAGCCCTGGCAGGGAGCGGAGCTGGGCACGGGAGACGCTGCTGGCAGGAACAGCCCCACTCAGCAGAGACACGGGCAGGGAGGGACAGGGAGCTGCTGCCAGAGATGCTGGCCAGGGGGATGTGGGCACCTCCCTGCTGTCCCTGTGCCTCAGACACCTTCCCCCAGCAACTCCTGCCCGGGCTCCTTTCCCAGCCTAAGCAGAGCCCCTGCCCTCAGCCCACGGGGGCTCGGGTGTGCACTGCCCCTGCAGCAGCCGGAGCCTGGGGAAGGAGAAGCCCCTGATTTCCATCAGTCTCTGTGTCCCTCCTCCCCTGGCAGCAGCATTGTGGCATTTCCCTGCCATCCCCAGGTGCCTGTGCTGTCCTTGTTGCCATCACTGGGTTTGCTGAGGCAGTGCAAGGGTTTGGGGGTGGCAGGTGCCTGTCCAGGCAGGGAGCCTTTGGATGCTGCTGTGGAGATGTGTCTGTGGGAGCAGAGTGCCCAGCTCTCGCCATTCAGGGGCATTCAGCTGATTCCCTGGCTGTCCTGCAGGGCTGCAGGGTGCCCTCCAGAAGGGCACAGCTCTCCTGTGGTGTCTCTGGGCTGCCTGGGATCCCCGTGCAGGAGACAGCTCGGTGCTAGGGCCAGGAAAATGCTGCTGGGCAGCTGCAGCTGGGCAGCTGCAATGATCCCTCTGTGCCCCAGCCTGGCAGGAGACAGCTGAGATCCTAAAGAGACACCCTGAGAGAAGGCGAGGGCTCTGTCACTGTGCTCTCTGAAGCCAGAGCCCTCTGCTCTCAGCAGTGCCCTGTTTCTCTCTAGGGAACTCCTCTGGGTGCCTCTCCTTCAGCTCTAAGCTGCCAGCAAGGAGCAGTGAGAACAGCCCTGATGGGCAGAGCTGCTCTCTTGTCCCTGCACCGAGACCATCCCTCTGCCTCTCACACCCACACCATTTCACCTGCAGTGCATTAGAAATGTCAGGCATTTCAAACACCCACAACCTCTCCTACCTGCAGCAGGTGTGACTGGATGAACAAATACAAGGAATGTCCTCAGCTCAGTTCTTCAGATGAGCAAATTGCCAACAGGAAATCTGAACAGCTTTTTGGTGTATCACGACTTCAGTTAATTGGAGATCAGTCAGTGTTCTCGTTTGCCTCTTAGTGCACAAGAAGAAGGAATCCTCCAGAGCCCATTTGTGAGTCCCTGCTCTCAGTGCCTGCAAATCCCAGAGCCCAGGTGAGGGGAATGCAGAGAAGTGTTTGTAAAAAGACAGACCCTGAATGTTAAATTGCTATAAGATAGGCAATATATTTTGCTCACAGAATTGTGGCCTGACTCTGTGATGTGTTTTCCTCCTCCATAGATAAAAATTTCCTTAGGCAGCAAATGTCCAACAGCAGCTCCTTCAGCCACTTCCTCCTGCTGGCACTGGCAGACACGCGGCAGCTGCAGCTCCTGCACTTCTGCCTCTTCCTGGGCATCTCCCTGGCTGCCCTCCTGGGCAACACCCTCATCATCAGTGCCACAGCCTGCAGCCACCACCTGCACAGCCCCATGTTCTTCTTCCTGCTCAACCTGGCCCTCACTGACCTGGGCTGCATCTGCACCACTGTGCCCAAAGCCATGCACAATTCCCTCTGGGACACCAGGACCATCTCCTACTCAGGATGTGCTGCACAGCTGTTTCTGTTTGTCTTTTTCATCTCAGCAGAGTATTTCCTGCTGACCATCATGTGCTACGACCGCTACGTGTCCATCTGCAAACCCCTGCACTACGGGACCCTCCTGGGCAGCAGAGCTTGTGCCCACATGGCAGCAGCTGCCTGGGCCAGTGCCTTTCTCTA